ATGTCTCTTATCAACAGCATACTCTTGGCTTGTGCGACGAGCTCGTTGGCCTTAAACTTTCTGCCTGCCCTGGTTGTTACTCCTGCCTCCCTGACTTTCTGGTCCTGCGAATCACTGTACAGGAGAACTGTTCTGCACTTGGCAACCTTGTACTCTTCTACCACTGACGACAAGGGAAGCTGTAACTGTCCTGACTTCGTGTACAGGCCTACCGCGGTGAAGCTCGGGGGTATGCCCAACCACTTCCTGAGGTGTTCGTTGACTTTCCTCTCGATCTCTGCTACCCTGGACAACGGTAATTCATACACCGTGAGCAACCACATCAGTCTCGGCAGCAACCCGTGCTGATACAACCAAGCCTTGAACTTCCCTGGAAGACCCGATTTCTCAATCCTTCTCAACCACTCCTCGGTCTGCTGCACGGTGCTATCAACGTTGTGTCTGTCTGTTAGTGAATCGTCAAACCACTCCCTAAGCACTTGATCGGGTTTCCACTATGGATGGAATGGGTTCTCCTTGTACTTCTAACTTGAACCTGCTGTTACTTCCCTTCTTTGATTATCATACACCTTGACTTCTTCGGCTTGAACCTCATCTTGCCCATGTTGCCATATAGTCTAGCTCTGCTAACATCCATCTTGCCTCTACATGGGTGACAGTAGTAAGAGTGATGTCATCCATGAACCCCCTTATTGGTGGCTGCCTTGAACCAGAGTTCATCCTGGGGCCCTTTGCTTTAGTAGCTGCCGCATCTATCAGTAGATTCATTCCCATGATGAAGAGAATTGGCGAGATAGTACACCCTGTCACAATCCCCTTCTCCAGGTTCTGCCACTGTGTTGTGAAGTCAGCTGTTCTAAAGCGAAGCTGGATCCCTCCAAAGTAGCTGGTGACCATGCCCTTGACGCTTGCTGGGACATGGTAGTGGTCCAGCGCCACCTGGATAAGGCCGTGAGGGATAGAACCATACGCATTAGCCAGGTCCAGCCATACCACTGTCAAGTCCGACTTGTTTGCTTTGGCTTCTCTTATCACCTGGGTTAGCACACCCGTATGTTCCAGACAACCGGAGAAACCCGGGATTCCTCCCTTCTGCACAGACGTGTCTATGTACTGGTTCTCAGTTATGTAGGTCACAAGTCTTCTAGCCAGAACAGAAAAGTAAATCTTGCATTCAACGCACAGGAGCGAAATTGTTCTGAACTGGTTGATGACGGAGGAGTCTACTTCCTTCGGGATGAAGCACCCCTCTGCTCTCTTCCAGCTTGTTGGAATGACTCCCTTCCCCCATATTCGTCGTAGAAGCCTCCACAATCTGCGCAGGAGCAAAGGGCACTTCTTGTAGACCTTGTAAGGGATCCCGCTAGGGCCAGGAGCTGACCCTGCTCTGGCTTTCCTAACCACATCTTGAACTTCCTTCCACGTTGGTTCACTTGTATCCAGAGGTTTGGTTGGTACTGGCACTGGCTTGATTCTCGAATTTTCCTCTAGAGCTTCGTGCCTCAACTCATCATTGTGTGCCTCTCTCAGAAACTCTTCTACTTCTTCTTTGCCACTGGCTAGTCTACCTGACTTCGCTTCTCCCAACAATGACTTTGTGAACCGGAACGGATCTCTGACGAACTGGGCTCTCTTGTTTGCTCTCTGCTTTCTCTGCTTCCTAACATTCTCAGCCCTTCTCAATCTACATAGCCGCTCTCTTAGTTGGCACGTTAACTGCTTGATACCTTCCTTTTCGCTGGCCGGCCCTCTCTTGTACTTCTTGTTTAGTGCCTTGATTTCTCTCCTTAACTGCCGAATTTCTCTTTCCCTTCTGTTGGGCTGCTTGGTAGTTTGCTGACTCTTCTTCTTCTTTTCCTCCACCCCAAACCGCTCCCTAGCTAGGTTGTACGTTATTGCGGTTAGGGACTCGACTTTACGCTCTACGGCTCCAGCTAGAGATGCTTCTAATACTTGGTTGAGGTCCGCATCTAGATGCTCCCATGCTTTCGTATCGCTCATCTTAGGCCACTTTATCCTGTCTTTAACTGGATGGGCTTGTCTCTCTGCTCTGCTAACTTGCTCACGGCTTCTGGGCTGCTGGCTTTCAGTTACTGTCCTTCTCTGCGGTGAGTGCCTCCTGTGGGCTTGGGGTGACTCAGGTCTAGTCATCCTAAATTGACCTTGATCATTTCAAATATAAGCTAGGTGAGAGTAAGTAGGTGACATATTCAGGAAATCGGAAAGTGATGTGATTACCAAGTTAAAATTATGTCGACAGCCCTACAAGCATCTCCACAGTTTCAGCACTTCACGAAAACCAAAAACATTTTCCAGAGCTCTGTGAACCTAAAAGCCACGAAAACTTAGAAGTTTGAAATCTTTTTATTAACTTTTCATTTGAGTTTTGATTTGCCTACTTGCACTACAGCCTCCTCATCATATCCCTCTGAAGATTATGGCAATTACCAACAGGAACCTGACGTGGGATGACATCTCTCTTACCTCCAAGCTGCTTGGAGCAGGTCACTTTGGTGAGGTCCGCAAGGGAACAGTCATAGTCGATGGGGAGAGGATTCCATCTGCCATCAAAATACTGAAACGTAAGCGAAAACATCACTCTACATCTCTCATTTCATCTGTGCTGTCTTCATTTATTTATTTATTTATTCATTTATTAAGTTTTACCACGTACAATATGCACTGTGGATGGCATGGCGAAACAGGTGTTTCTGACATGAAACACCTTTTCAAAGCCGCCATACCAATAAAATGACAAAACAATACAAAAGGTAATCAAATCACATAATACAATTTGAGAAACAAATAAATAAACTTAGAAAGTACAAGGCAAGTCAACTTATTAACATTGTGAGGGTTATTGATTAGAGACAGCAAATAACGACAGTTATATAGCCAGCAGTGATATCACAGTTAGCGCGGTCTTGTGCCCAGACAAGTAGCGCAACCACAAGATAACTGCCACGTACAGGGTTCATTGTACGACAACTGTTGTTTTCTACTGGTCAGTCATCTGTAACATACACTGTTACTAAGGCCCTGGGCTGTTTACATTGTCAGGCGCGGGGAAGAATGTTGGCACGCAATAAAACAGAAGAAAAAATTACAACTTTTTACAACCAGTGTTGCTTTTATTTAACGTAAATACTCCAGTCAATACTTTAACGCTGTGCTTCTGTCATTACAAGAAATGTAACGTTATATCACTTGATTAAGCAATATTCTAGTTTGACTAACGATCACCATGCAGTGCTTGAGAACAGACTATTGTTCACGTTGTCGGTCACACTAAAGCGGTCACAAAAGGGGCCCAGTAAAGGTAGATATTGACATGGCAAGTATCACACCTGCGATACTTTTTACGTTTTAACGCCTCTGGATAAATGTTTCTGTTGATAATTGCGATAAGGCCACAGCAAGTAATTTTTATGGATGACATCAGCGCGCGCATTAATTTTCGCCTGATTTAAAAAAAAAAAAATTTTTTGTTGCCTTCTGACAGTGGTCAACATGCCGAAAAGGGGCAAAAATGTCTGTAGCCATGTCGGAAGGTGTATGCCAGATAATTATGAAGAGAGGAGACAAGAAAAGGCTCTGATCTAATGTTTTGTTTCTTACTTTGATGCAGTGATATGTGATGCTGGCAGTGAATATGTGATGTTCCCACTGAATAAAAACCATTTGTACAATGATTGAGTCAAAATTTTAAAATGTAGGAACCTTGTTTTTTTCGTCCCGTCTTGTTTTTTTTTCGCCCGCTCGCATTAGATTTGGAGTCTGCGGAGGATGTCATCCATAAAATTTACTTGCTGTGGCCTAAGTTCAGTTCAGAATTAGGGGAGGGGTAAGAAATATGTGTTCTCTCTCAGACTAACTCACTCTCATACCTTCACTTTGCCCCGCGCTCATCTTGGGAGGTCACCATATGGTCGCTTTCAACATGAACGTCCTCTATCCATTTCTGTTCTTCGCACTCTGCATCACATCTGTATATGTATATGAGTGTTAACAAGAGTTCCAAGATCTCATACCTCCATGAAATATGGGCTTGCTTTGTCATTTTTCATTTCAACATGTCCTCAATGATTACATTTCATCAAATCTGTTGTCCTGACAAAAGATACAAAAACCGGCAGTTTTGCTGCAGTACCAAGGTCATCCACCAGGAGGTCCATATTTGACCTTGACCTTTGTCTTCCTAAGACCTACCAACGTACTAAATATCATCACAATCCATAAAGGCGTTATGAAGTTATGATGACTACAAATGTGCGGAAACACAAACACACACACACACACACACACACACACACACACACACACACACACACACACACAGACACGCCAAAAATAATACCTCCATTTTTCATGGAGGTAACAACATTTCTTAGTTGAGAACTCCCTGCCTTTGTTCTACAGATGGTGCAGATGATGCTAGTACGCAGGACTTCCAGCAGGAGGTGGACATCATGCGCCATGTCGGGTATCATCCCAACATCATCAACCTGCTCGGGGTCTGCATTTACCAGGGTGAGGCCGAATGCCTATGCACTGGTGCATAAGGCCATATTGATTTGATTATATGGATGACATCCGCGCGCGCATGAATTTTCGGCCGTTTCCAAAAAAAAAAGTTTTCAACCATACTATAAATCGTACAAAACAGTTGCAAAATGAGCAAAAATATACCATAAGTTACAAAAAAAATTAATAAAAACTATACCAATGTCGTAGAATGCCAAAATCAAACGAAAAAAGACGAAATTGTAAAGAAATAAACTTGAAGACTAGATTATTCGCCAAACCATATTTTGTGCCATTTGCTCAACCCCCATGACCACGTAGATTTCATAATAAAAAGAACTTTTTTTTGGCAAAACTTTTTTTTTATTCGCACGCGCGCATCAGTTTTGGGGCTCCCGGAGGATGTCATCCATATAATCAAATCAACATGGCCTAATTAGATCCAATGTACTTATGTCCATGAGAAATACCCCCAAATCGTACCTATACAGGGTGTTATATAGATGGTACTGTATGTGCAGAACAACAATTGTTGTGCTCCGCAGGACAAGGGTCAAAGCAAGAACTTGACCGTGACAGTCTTGCCTTACATCAGCATCACATAGTAGGAAATACATGTTTGTAAAACTGGGCACGTATTAGTGTAGCTTTAGAGCTGTTTGTACTACAAACATGTATATTACGTACCTTTTCATCTGTTCACCTGTACTTAGCCCGATAGGGCATGAATAAGGTTATTATCATTATATAAAGGACTTCTTTGAGACCTTTCTTTCAACTATACACTTAATATGCCCAATTTAACATTGCATTGTGTCTAAAACTATGTCAAGCATATAAGTTATTTTAAAAGATGGTGATAAGTGGTTAAAAGAATAATCATAACTTGTTCAATCCAGGTCAACAGTACATGGCTCTTGAAATGGCCGCCAATGGTGATCTGTTGAACGTTTTGAGGAATTCCCGGGTGCAGAAAGGGAGGGAACAAGCTTACCCCGGAAACCGGTCGGATTCCGGCGCCCTGACCGTGTCCACCCTGTCACCTGTCCAGCTCCTGCGGATTGCCTGCGACGTGGCAACTGGTATGGCCCATCTGTCTAGCAAGGAGGTATGTCACAGTTAGTTCTTTGCTGTTGTTCACGTAGGAAACAAGGAACAAAACTAGAAAGGTGACATTTGCAAAGCAAATGCATAATGTTACCTTGGCACATGGTCTTCTCTGTTAATTATTACTCAAATACATTCATATATATGGTCAGACAGGAGTCTAAATCCCTCCTACTATAAGAAAAGTGTTGTAACATTATGTAACCCAACACCAGTTACCACGGTGACAGACGTGAACATATCAGGTCATTTATTTTGGCCATGTCAGAGGTTAGTGTTTGGAGAAGAAGAGGAGGAAGAGGAAACTGAGCAAAAATAATATGTTTTCCTTCGGTAAACATAATGAGATCACAAGGCCACAAAAGATAAGGGAAACTGCTATTTCATTTGGAGGTGCCCCAATAGGTCGAAAAGACATATAGATGAAGCGAGGTAAGAATAGATAAATGATAAATTTATCAAAGCATTAAATAGTAAATTATAATTCAAATCGGTACACGTCCTGTATTACAATTTTACATCGCCCATAGGATTAACGATCCGCTTTTCACTCGGAGGTGACAGTGACATAACGCCCGACTAGTGATCTATAGATAAACACATGTGAAGTGTAAAGTGAAGAGTGAAGAATAGTTACACATGTAGGTTAATCATTGATGTTGTTGCCATATAGTCAGCTGAAAACTGCCACAGGCATTGAAAAAAGTTGAAATTAAACCAGATGAAATACTGAGTCCAAAGTTATGTGGCACGTATGACCCGCTTCTACGGTCACGTGTCTCTAACGTCACGTTCCAAGAGTAGACGTACGGGTCCATTCCGTGAACAAGGTTGATGGAGTCAACCGAAAATTTGGGGTAAGTCCCAATTCTGTAGTCAAAGTGTTGGAAGTTAAAGCTTAGTCTTTATTTCCTAATGAGTCCAAAGTTGTTTTTGACATATGCATGGTGTTTTTGACAGGTTATCCACCGTGACCTGGCGGCCAGAAATGTCCTCCTCACAGACAGTCTCATCGCCAAGGTTGCTGACTTCGGACTGTCGCGTGGGGATGGCATCTATGAACAAACGTCAAAGGTATATATTGTTCTGATGACTAGGACATCCCTTAGCTCGTTAGACGTTATACAAAGAAGGAAAATCAGGATCGTAAAAGATTCACTGGACAGTGTCCAGATTCGTTATGTTAGGGCCCTTTTACTTCTACCCCAGATGTACTACCAAGGTGCACCAGTATTAGTGAACAACCAACTACGTATACCTGAGCCCTTTGTGCACTTCCTCCTGTCGCAAAACAATTATCCCTGATACAGTCAAGTAGTGGAACAGCCAACACAAAGTCAGTGCCCATCTCAGTACTACTCGTAAGCGTAACGTATAGGAAATGTTATTCTGCACTTCTGCTAAGCTGAGGACCCGGCCATATCATAGAAAAAAAAGAAATAAGATGAATGTAACTATGAATTACGTATTGTTTTATAGCTGACGGGTAAAAAAATGATGTACATGTACATTTGATGCAACCTCCAGGTTTTTTTAATATTTCAGAGAGCCATCCCTTTCCGCTCTACTGCGATAGAGGCACTGACTTTGAGGATCTACACAACACAGAGCGACGTGTATGTTTGAATACATGTAATATCTACCCATATCTATGTCTGTATCTCTTTTTTTTCTGTCTCTCTCTGACTATATATTTCAGGTGGATTGATTCTAGATATATATAGATAGATAGATAGATAGATAGATAGATAGATAGATAGATAGATAGATAGATAGATAGATAATATATAAAATATATGAATTAGATGGAAAGGAATATAAAACGTAAATACATAGATAAATACAGGCATGAAGTAATATGACAAATGATGTGATTCATATAGCATGATTAACACAAATTTATATATGTAAATGTATATATGTAAATTTAAAACAAATATATTTACTTGTATTAACTTTAACTGAAACATCTTTTATTGTATTCCACTCAGGTGGTCTTTCGGGATTCTGCTTTGGGAGATCGTCACTCTTGGTAAGAAGGAACAAAAAACAAATATAGTTGTCACGCTAACTACACCACAACGATCTGTATGTGTGCCATTATGATAGTATCATTATGGCTTAGTATGAAACAAGTAAAATCTGAGATTTTATACCTCCGGGCTTTTTATTGTATATTTTTATATGTTGTTTGTTATGTATAGTTGATGGTGTTGAATTTTGTGCACAACAACAATTGCGCGCTGCAGGACTAGGGTTTTAAAAAGAATTTATCAAGACCGGGCACCCCTCTGTGCGAGGGGTCATATACGTGGACCAGACCGAGAATATCCTAAACACGCCAAAGGTCAACGGTCGCAACCATTTTCACGCTCAAAGGGGTGTTCTTGGGCCACCAAAAGGCGCCATTTTCACGCCCGAAAACACATATGCAATAAAAACAAAAGAACGTGCATTATCTGCAGCCCAATAGCAAAACATACACTGAGTCCCAAAAGAATCCGTCCATCCAAACGCGAGAAACAGCTGCGAACATGAAAATCTAAATCTCTCACAAAACCCTTCCGCGGAAAGATGTCTCCTCCCCCGGAGGTAAAAACACAAAGGGGGCATGGAGGAATCTCATTGACGTGAGCTTAGGCCAGATACAATAATAATTAAGAGATGTCAATGTGTTGTATATAGAAATTAGGAATTTACTGATGTGGACAATTTTAAACTGTAAATACCCACAGTTTGTTTATTATAAAACGAGCGCAATTCAGACTTCTGTCTGCTATGCGGTATTTGAAATAAAAGTTTCAAAAGTTTCAATAGGCAAAGAACTTAAATGACCTTTTTAGTCATTCAGGAGGAACACCTGAATATTAGTGTTCTTTTATTCACAATCATTCGTTTTACATGAGCCAAGGTTTTGGTAACTATGTGTCACCTTCATCAATGGACATGTATATGTATTCAATCAATTAACCGCAAGCATGTATTGCGACTACATTTGGCATTGTATGTAACACTGCTACTATGTTGTAACAATACCTATGTATGTCAAAATTGTTTTACGCTTGGGACTGCATTGTTACAGCAACATCTAGTTTCAGCGCACAGTGAACCATGTAACACATAGCACCAGTTCACAGTAAATCAGTCAGTATAGCTATGAGGAAGATGACAGACGGTCGAAATTAACGTTGGCCGATGTAAAACGAATGGTTGTGACTTAAAGAAAATTAATATTCAATAATGTACCAACCTGATGAAATTATTAACGGGTAGGAGGAACACCGTACAGCGGAATGAAGTCAAGACTGCTCCTAAGGCGGCTGCGTGAAGGATACAGGCTGCCCAAACCGAGAAACTGTGAGGCAGACCTGTACGTAACTACTGTTTTTACCTCCATGAAAAATGGATGTATTGTTTTTTGTGCGTCTGTGTGTGTGTGTTTGTGTGTGTGTGTGTTTCCGCACATTTGTAGTCAGCATAACTTCATAACGCCGTTATGGATTGTGATGATATTTGGTATGCAGGTAAGTCTTAGGAAGACGAAGGTCAAGGTCAAATATGGGCCTCCTGGTGGATGACCTTGGTACTGCAGCAGAACTTCCGGTTCCTGTCAGGAATAAGTGGTGTAAGTTTGGTCCCCCTAGCAGCTTGTTCTGGTACTGCAGGTTAGTTTCTGGTAAAAAAAACTTTTAAAGCCAATAAGTCCAGATAGGAACAACGTATTTTCATCATTTTTGGTATGTAGGTGGCTGAGAGAGAGTTGTACATAATTAAATGCAAATTATGCAAATGAGGACTTAATTTTTTATGTTTTGTAGTTCTACAAAAATCCACGTGTTTCAAATTAGACGCCAAATGGTTAGCCGTAACGTTCCCTCGACATCTCTGTAGACTGTAGATTAACATATTGCTATTCTATTTACTACACTTATTCAATTTATCAGTAAATCGAATCTACAAAATGTTTCTTAGAATTGAACAACATTATATGCCCGGGCGCAATTTGAATGATACAAGGAGTACAATTGCAATGTGAACGAATGCATGATTCAATGGTTAACACATCGCTTTATGCTCTAAAGTTGCCAATATGATAAATCTACAAAATATTGATTAAGATTGACTAACCGTGTCAAATATTGATAGGTACCAGGTGATGCTGCTGTGCTGGAGGACCTGTCCAGAGGACCGCCCGACATTCACCGATCTGGTCAAACAACTAGACAGTATGATTGACGATAAGCATGTGAGTATGAATTGTGGTGTTCAAGAGCTAAAAAAATACAATATGTTCATATTATCTCTACAATTTAGTTAATAGCATGAACATTCACACTTCTGTATACTTTTGCCGTCACTGAGAACATGGCAGCCGGTTCTAGACTTGGTACTACGGTTTGCAAACAACAAAAAAATACAGCATACGTGCTTTATTTGGCGTGTGTGCATGTACATAAAAACTATCTAGCATACTGTAATATCTGCAAAATAATAGAGATCATAACCGAAACACACCATTTATGCAAACAAATTTGAGCGCCATCTTGAAGACTCTGTACGTATTACGCGAAAAGGGCTAATAATATGTCTGAAGTTGGAACCGGGCTCCCATCTCTAATAAATAAATAAATAAATAGATAAATAAATAAATACGTCACAGTACTTTTTTCCTGCCCAAAAGGCATTTTGTGGTACATCTATGCAGAAACTAAGACCTTCATGTCTCTTTTTTTTTCAGAGCTACGTGGACATTGACAAGGATGATGATTTCGAGTATGAGGTGGTAGACTCTGATGACAGTGACAATGATGGCATAAATGATGCATTTATGGTGTAGGAAGACCAGATGGACATTAGATGGCATGTTTGCTGTTTTATTAGAAGTTGTTTATTGCAAATTCCTGCCCGAGGGCTAATTGCATACAGACATTGACAAGAAAATGTGGTGATACATGTATAAGACTATTTGCTAACAGGAACGTCTACGTGTACGATATATTTATCGAACCTACTATCTCTACTTAAATCTAATAACGTTGGTATACATACAGGATAAAAAGTAAATATGCAATATGTGAACAGGTAATAGGAACAAGGTAACTGCTATTCTAATCTAATCTATTCTATTCTATTAAACTATTCTTGTCATTCTGTTTTTATTTTGACCGAGTTGCTCTAATATACATTGGGGAGGGGCTTATGGTGTTCAAATAGAAATTGCATTGTTTTCGGAAGACAGGAACGTCTTTTAATTTAGTGCATTTTGTAGATATATAAGTAGAAGAACGTTGGGCGGTCCGAAAATGATGTTTCAATTCACATGGCGTGTGTATACGAAATTAAACAGATCACATATTACATTTTGTAATTTTAGATTTGATTTAATTAAGAAATATATATTTTGTCATCAATGATGCAAAATTAACAGCAATTCTAGTCATCTTTACCTAAACTTATCTTTCATTAAAATTAAGCTTATTGTGAATTCATTCATACCATCTCACATACAAGGTGCATTGGATTGATAGTGTGTAAGGTTTGATCAAAGTACAAAGGTCTTTATTTCATTCACAGGAGAACACGTTTTGCGTGCGATTTTGTTACCCTCCAAAAAACCAGTACATACTGCTGTATAATTTAAATAACCATTACTGTAAATTTCCTTTTGAATTGCACAGACGACCAGTCCCTATATCCTGATTCGTCCACCTTTACCCTACCAAATTGAGCCGGTACGATACATAACGGCAAAATTATTTACAAACAAAATCCTGGACAATAATCACTTGCCATGGATTTATAAGTATTCAAGCAACAGACAATTTCCGTAACTGATCCGCGGAGCCTCTATCTGATGATTGGATGACCCCATACCGCCACTCGGCCAACCAGATATGAATTTTTCTGTTCAAATTTTGGTCAAATTTAGAATGAGAGCTAGAGAAACACTGTTCAATTGTGGCTTCGAATATATGATACATGAAATATCATAAATTACCATCTTTTAGTGTCCGTATACCGTTTAGTTCCTGTATGTACATCATATATAATTTGATAGTTATTTTAGTCAATATAAAGTAAAATTTCACACTGTGACAGCAAACCTGTTAAATTTTGGACTTATGTTGATTCTTGCCACAAATGTTTATCATAGAGGTCAGTGATATTTATCTTGTGTAAAAAGGGCGATATATGAAACTACCTGTGTCGGAGAGAATTTGTAAATATTGCTCCTCAAATGCAGTGGAAGACGAAATTCATTTCATCTCTAACTGTCCATTTTATGACGACATCAGAAATCAACTATTTACCACTGTGTCCAAAATGCTGCCTTACTTCCCCACCATTCCTTACCACACAAAAAAAAACAATTTTACTACTAAAATCAAAGAACCCACATATTATAGAAGAAGTGGGTAAATTTGTCTTCCATTGCCTAAAAAGAAGAAGTCAAACCCAGTAAAACTAGTGTCATGTCATGTTGTAGCATATAGTATAATGTTAGAAGTAGATATACATGTAGTCTCACATACCACTGTATTTTATTTCTTTCTATGTTGTTTGTAACTGCAATTAGCCCTCGGGCAAGTATTTGCAATAAACTTTCCTATGTAATCAGGGGATATATAGGTTCAGTATGGTCTTTGTATGCGTTAACATTTTACCTTATGTATAAATAATCATAGTGGCACGTACATACAGGTTTATGTTATGTTCTTTTTTTAAAATACGAGAAAGTTAAAGAGAGGGGTTTGGATGTTATTAAGGATGAAAATACCCCTGGTATTTTTTTTATTCCAACATGTAATCACCAGACGTGGTGATGGCACACTCAAGTTTTTTCAACTTATATTTAATGCCGCCACCAACACAGGGGACAAATACATGACAGGACAATACTCATTTTCACCTGAGCTAAGTGAGGAAAGTCGTGTAAAGTGCCTTTCCCAAGGGCACAAGATCGGTGGCATGTCAGGACTCGAACCCGGGACCTCTAGGTTCGGAGTCGCGTACTCTGCCGCTACGCCACGCTCTGGTATTTCATACATCATCATCGCTTGTTTTGCAAGCAATTATAATGTATGAAATCCCAGGGGTAATTTCATCCTTCATAGAATTTGCATGATGCAAAATTGTTTCATTTCTTCATATGTGATGGATTTTACTTTTCAGTACGGGCTAACTTTTTTAGGAATCGTTTTCTTTCGTAGAAGTAACTATTCTAGAAATACAAACTCAAACGAAACAAAGGATCTAATACATGGGTAAGGTTATTGAATAAAGAGTTGCGAAAATCAAACTAATTAAACAAAAACATGTCTTTCTCAGTGCTATTTTAGTTTGTTTCTATTTTCATGTCAATAGTTATTACACTCATATAAGTAATGCTATTATAATGACGACATTATAATAGA